TAACTGAAAATTATACAACGAAATTAGGTCTGTACAGGGTGTTTGGCTAATCGTGTTACAAACTTTGCCAGTAGATTCTAAATTTAAAAAACAAACAAAAAGTCCTAATTAACTATAGTGTGTGTGGTGATTAGTGAACGTTAATCGATATTTATTTAGAAATCGTGAGATGCAGTCTTTGTGATGTAGGTTTCAGAAAAACATTTTCTTTATCGTGTAACGTTTCGATCTTTATTGAGATCATCTTCAGGGCCTGGGATTTATAAACATTGTTTAAATTATTCAAAAATCGTGAGATGCGGTCTGGTGTGATAGGTTTCAGAAAAACATTTTTTTTTCTGGCACTCTCAACACGACAGGCAAGAATGGCACAATTACACAGAAGACAAACACTTTGAGCCCTGAAGATGATCCCAATAAAGATCGAAACGTTGGCACGATAAAGAAAATGCTTTTCTGAAACCTACATCACACCAGACCGCATCTCACGATTTCTAAATAAATAATTAACTATAGTCCTAATCTCAGCAATTTCGGAGTTATTTCACTTTTTCTGATTTTTTTTAAGATTTCACGCCCTGCTTCAAATAAACAATGATAACTCCAAAACTAAAACGTTTTTGACAAATCCGTTGATACCATTGAAAGCTGCGTTAAATTTCCAATAAGATGTGATCAATACTAAACTTGTAAACGTTATTTTAAAGCTATTTTTCTCCAACAATTTGTTTTTTTTATGTAAACATATGCATCTTTATAAATTGTCAATTTGTCTGCAATATTTTCCAGATGTGGGAGAGAAACCGGATAATTATAGTTCTTAATTTAAAAAAAAAAAAAACCGATAAGCAATTTAACAATCTCCTGAATTTTAATATTAAATTTAATCAATTATCATTCATTTATTTATGTATCGTACAATACATGATTACTATTGTATTTGTACTTTTTACCAATCCGGGTCAGATTTGTTATAAATAAATAACTTGTTTAACCTATTCGATTTAGGAAGAAATGGATTTTTCTTAACCAAAATTTAATATCTTGTTGTACACTGCATATGCTGATATGCTTAGTATGCTTAATGCATAATGCATGTAGCCGCCTCTTGTTCACCAGGGGAAACCGCTAATTATCCTGAGAGCTAATTTTTGTTCGCATATTATTATTCGATGGATAGGTTTTTTCCCAGATTGTGGCGCCTTGAGTGAATATTGATAAACTAGCTGTACGCAATCCTTTTTATTTCCTAAACTAAAATTTTGACGATAATTGAATATTTAAAATTCGGTTTTAACCGCTCCAATTGCTTTGACAAATTTCAAAAAGAAATGTGTGTTATTGACGAGTCAACACAAATATGCTTTTGTTTGTTCTACTCATATCTATAAGTCGCCTGTCGATCTTCGCTGGGTTGTTAGTTTGTCAGGTGAGGCAACATCTTCAGTGGTTATTCTATCTGCTATTTAGTCAAGATCACTGGGGTCGCATTGTCTTATACTATTAACATTGAGGTTCTTTAGTGAGCGCACATAGCAGTCAGGCCTTATCACGCGTTCAACATTCTCAAGTTAGGAGCGACTCACCTCCGCGCAGGGAAAATCTGCTTCTTCGGTGAAGTTCGGGTAGAAACCAGCAAATCTAATGGACAGACATGCTGACTTCTCCCGCTTGCCCCTTCCGAGGGGGTGGGTTAACGTTGTGCACTTAACCGTGGGTGGCGCGTAAAGGGATACCCAAAAGGGGTCGAAATGCATTGGCCACGCACTCCCTAGACAGAGACAACTCTATCTCCCTGGGTGTAGGGGCTCCGCTAGGCTCAAACCTCCGGATGCGCTCCGGCCGCGGTTTAGATTTTAGTGGAATCTCCAACCACCCCCTAGAGGAGACGGTAAAGGCAGCCCAGACGACCACCACCGACAAGCATCCGCCCCCGTCCACCATTCCTCACGCATTCGAGGGTCGCCGGCAGCGTTGACAAAGCTCCTCGCTGGCTATACGCTCTCAGCAATCCGATCCATCAGATTCCCACGAGGTCGGGAGGTAATTCGGAGGTCATGCGCAAGTACTACGGTTCACGGCCACGAATGAAACACAGCCTTTTCTCTAGGTACCGCCAGGGGTCTCACCACTCAGCCACTGTCCTTACCCACGCAGCTGGGCTTGAACATGGAACGAAAATACGCTGCCTCACAATTCAGATGGTTATGCACCCTCCCTCGCCCGTATATATATATTAAAAATATATATTTAGACAGGATCTGGTACTCTAACACGCGTAACACGAGTGTGGCTCTGATGCAGCACCAATCGTTCGCTGCCAGCTCTCAAGCCAGCAACTCCCTGAACGCATCTCGAGGGACTAGTCTTAGCATCCTCGCAAGCTATACGTTTCCTAGGTCCTGTCTTCCAAACGCATGCAGAGGCTGCTTCAGGCGATCACGTGCTCCAGGAAGCACAAGCCAGCTTGTGTTTTGGGAGTTCCTCACGTTCTCAAGGCCGCACCATTATTTTGTGCTTGGAAAGCCCCCTTGCAACCAAGGGTTGGGAAGGGTCAGCAGGAGTCTCCTAGAGCATCCGATGCCTATTACCAGGATTTGGATTGAGTAAAGCGTAAAATGTTAATTAAACGCGTCTGATCTAACAAAATGACGAGGGCAGGCAAACGAAAATGATCAGAACGTCGATATACAGGTTCATCAATCCGCAGACCTCACAGAGAAATCTCACGTGTTTTTTAGCGTTAACGTCCTTTTTTCTGTTTGGTAATCGTGTCTCTTGTAAAAACGACTTTATGAAATCATCCACAAACAGGATTTTTAACTCAAAACTCTTGAGTAAGTTAATATAACTCTCAATAAGTTATAATAAATTTTCATAAGGTTTAATTAAATATGGAGGGTCTCAGAACTTACCTTTGGTAGACACAAGCCTTAATAACGCAATCAATTTACTAACTAAAGTAAAAGAATCACAATTTATTAGTAGTTACTTAGCTTATTTGCGAAGTAAGTGAGAAATATAGTATTTAAGGAAGCCTTTAAATAACAATTTATTTTTAAGCTGTTAACATAATCGATGCTTTTTCCAATCTAACTAGGTCCGTGATTCGTTCCGATAATCATCGTTCAATTATATTATCTGTATTACAGACCCTTTTGGTCATTTTCAATGATTATTTGGAGATCTAGTGTGACGTAGGTTTCAGAAAAAATTTTCTTTATCGTGCCAACGTTTCGATCTTTATTGAGATCTTCTTCAGCTCAAAGTGTTTGTTTTCCATAAGGATGTGTCTTTCTTCTGAGTCGTGTTGAGAGTGCCCGAAAACACACAAGAATGTCACCAAATAATTACAGAAAGTTCAAAATAAGATTGAAAATAATTTGTGGTGTTTAGTGACTGTTAGTTGATGATTATTTCGAGATCGTGAGACGCGGTCTGGTGTGACGTAGGTTTTAGAAAAACATTTTCTTTATCGAGCCAACGTTTCGATCTTTGTTGAGATCATCTTCAGGGCCTGGGTTTTATAAACATTGTTTAAATTTTACAAATGCATGTAGAATGTGAAAAAAAAAATGAATTTATACTATGCTATTTATATGTATATATACATGTGTTTATAAAAACTGATGATGATGACGGATACTACGAGCTGTCATTCTCCAAACACTGCAGCTTTGACTTATTGTACTTTTCCTAATTATTTAGTTCGATCCAATTGGCTTCTTTGAATTGGCACATTTAATGTTTACATAAGTGGCAGCATTTTCCCTCTCACTGTGTAAACTTGTGAGGATCGTATGTTTGTAAATAGTGGTTAAGTTGGAGAAAACCGAGGGTAGGTGTTACTGGACCTTTTGCCGTGAGTCAATATTTCCTTTTAAATTTCCTATCCTTATTTACTTTGTCTATTTTTTACTTTTATATGGTTACATTCTTTTTGTTAAAACGTTTAAACATAAAATTTTTGATAATATACTCTTTTTTGTTTAAAGAATTTTTTTGTCTTTGTTTAATAAACATAGAGGGGTTCTGTTCCGTTCTTATTTCTGAATAATTGTACCACACCGTTGTAACGATCCTCACAAATTACAGATAAGTTCATCATTGTACATACCCATCCTGTATAAAAAAAAAATTTCGATGCTTTTTTGTGCCTTTTTCACGCTGTAGCGCTGGCTCTTTAACCATGAGGTTACTATGTCTGGCACCTTTAAGGTTCGTCCATTTTTCCTTTTGTTTTTGTCAGCCCACTCTAAATTTCTGGTCAACCTGCAGCCTCAACCAATGAACCTCAAAAAGTTTTAATATTCTTTAAAAGGATAGTTCCTACTCACAGTAAGTTGTTTTGCAACGATCCGGATTTCGAGCCTTTTAGCTCATCATCAGGTTGAAGATTTTGAAGAAGGTTGATCTACCTCCCATTTTAAATATGTTCATAAATAATATCAAACATCCAAATAATTAATCTAATTATTTTAATGGTTATTATTTTTATAGTAATTTATAGTAATATTAAGTATTTATTATTCTAATATTTATTTGTGTTATAATTTCCGCGTTTCGCACGTTCAAATTGAGCGTCATTAAAAAAATCAGCTGATAATTGGAACGTTACGTTGGCGGTTCATTTTGGCAATTCTGTCGAGAGACGTGGTTGTAGAAGTCCTTCAACCTGATGATGAGCTAAAAGGCTCGAAATCCGGATCGTTGCAAAACAACTTACTGTGAGTAGGAACTATCCTTTTAAAAAGTATTGAACACCACACTCACTCCATCATTTATCATTTCTATCAAAACGTTTTTGCTAGACTATGTTTAATCGAACTTTTACTGGAGTTTATTTTTTTTCTGTGCACCCTTTTTTTAATATTACAATACGTTAGAAGAATGAATTGAATAAATATGCAAAGCTTCTATAAAGAGTGATAATAACAAGTAGAATAAGGAAGGAAAATATGAAGAGGAAAAATAATACACATTGCCAAGAATCCTGTAAATCTAGTTGTCTAGTACAATTATTAAAGAAACAATTAATTCTTATTCATTGTGTAGTTTAACAAATGTTTTAATGTTTCTTCGAATCAGAACCTCGTAGGACGGTGAAGTAAGAGTACGATGCCTTTATGGTCTGAAAAAACGAACGGTTCTCAGATGTTTATCAATTTGTTAATTGACCTTTTTGAATTTGTTTACAAATGTATACCTGAGTAAATGAGTTCAGGTCGACCGTGTAGAATTTTCCGGCTGTGAGAGAATCCGGGCGATAGCTGCGGGTCATCGCGAACAGGACGCACTTCCTGAACTTGACCGACGCCTGGTCCCAGCCGGTCTCGTACAGGCTTCTGTGCACGTTGCTAGTCTGCAATGAAAACATTTAAACCGAGCCTTATCAAAAGAAAATTTCTTGACGATTTCCCTCGACCTTGTCGTAAATAATCTGCCCGCCCCAGCTGTAGATGAACAGCTCCGCGGAACCGAAGACGAGGTACATGATGAACTTGCAAGCCAGCGGGATCGAGAGCTGGTCGCTCGCTCCGAGATATTCCTAGGGGGAACATGCAATTACGGACAGAATCGGCGACGAACAGTAATTATCCTTACGTTCAGCTGGACCAAGACGAGGCAAATTGTGAACGTGCTTGTCAGCATTTGGAACAGGAACATGGGGTTGTACATCCTTTCCAATTCCTTCGTCAACCTTCAACACGAAAGAACAAAGCGCTAAGAACTAAAACTGTGAACAGTTTCAATTATTCTTTTTATGTAAGGTCTTGGTTGAAATGAAAAAGTTAGTGTCACGAGCGGCTGACACAAACTTTTTCATTTCAACCAAGACCTTACATAAAAAGAATAATTAATTAAAATAATTACAATTAGACTGCTAAACGTCAAAATTTGCTAGAATTATTTTAATTAATTATTCTTTTTATGTAAGGTCTTGGTTGAGATGAAAAAGTTTGTGTCAGCCGCTCGTAACACTAACTTTTTCATTTCAACCAAGACCTTACATAAAAAGAATAATTAATTAAAATAATTACAATTAGATTGCTAAACATAAATGGATTAATATATAAGGAGTATCACTTCACTAACAGCTCCCCGTGGCCACTTCATAAGTCGCTGAGAATCGAACTCTGATTTGTTTTACCACACGACGTTTGAAAAATGGCAAAAAGTTGTAAATTGAAATGTGTGTATCTTAATGGCCGATTGTTTTATAATTTCTTGAAGTCGTGAGAAGCGATCAACAATGAGGTAGTTTCGAAAAACAGCTGTTTTACTTTTTTTTACCTACGTTTCGAACTTTATTCGGGTCATCTTCAGGACATAAAGTATGGTGCTATTCTTGTGGTGTGATATTGGTTTTGTGGGAAAGTGTTGTAGGTTGAAATGAGGAGTTGGTGTCCCAGTGGATCGAAGTCACGAAAGCTCAAGCGGTTAGAGCAGCAGTGTATTGAGCCGAAGGTCGTGGGTTCGAATCCCGCTCGTGACACTAACTTTTTCATCTCAACAAGGACCTTACATAAAAAGAATAATTAATTAAAATAATTACATGGTCAATTAGACCACTGCACAAAATTGGACACAAAAACAGTGGAGAAATATGACACAATGAACTGAAAAAACATACCAGGTTAAAAAAAAAATGTTAGGAAAGTACGAACGATGATCTTATTTTTGACTTATGTATAGGAGGAGGACGAACACTTTTGAAGTGGTAAAATGAGTTATGAGAGATGGCCATTTAAAAGCGCTCATATTCATCATAATAAACAGGACCCTTATATTGCAGTGAGGTCAATAAGTCCAGAGTATAAATAATTTTTCTGGGCAATATTTCCCAACAGATAAACTTTTCTGATTTGTTTCGCGAAAGAAGTTACGATATAACATTACATAAAGAAATAGCATAAGTAATTAAAAACTTACCTGCTAAACAGTCTACAGGATGACCTTATCAGTAGATAAATATGTAAAAATTGCTGAAAAAACGGTTAGTTAAGCTAATATACTATTTAATGCTGCAATCAGTCTGAAATATGTTCCCACCATCTGGAAATTCGCAAAAGTCATTATGATATAAAAACCGGGGAAACCGCCGAACGAGGTCATAATATGTAGACCATTATCGCTACACCTAAACTCTCGAGTGTTTCTAAAATTGTTTATTAAAAAGAATAAAACTCACTACAAAAAACAAGAAAATCATTCCTGACCACCAGTTTAGGTTCCGAACGAGTCATTAGACAAAATTCACCGATTAACGGACGTAATAGTAGTCACTCGAAGAAAACAAATTTGTTCCGCTATGATGTCTCACAAGCTTTTGACAAGATCTGGAATGAAGGACTCGCCAGATTAAAAAAAATGACTACGAAAGCAGTATGAAGATTTTATCAGTTCTAAACTAACTGAAATACATTCTAAAGTCAAAAAATATGACCAATATTCCAAACTAAAAACTATAAATGCGGGAATGTCACAAGGTAGCATTCTATGTCCAACACTTTACTTGCCATGAACTAGTTATTTTCTGAAAATGAATAGATTAAAAATTACAACGATTAAAATATCGGAACGACTAACAACTATTCATCCAAAATCCTTCAAAAGGCGTGTCACAAGAGAAATAAATGAAAAAAACAGAGAATCCGGCGCAATCTGCACTAATCTGTACATATAAATTTAACAAACAACAAATTGGTCCATGTTTCCGTCTCTCGCCATCGATGGAGCTGTTATACCATACAAGGATACTGTTAAATATCTGGGAATAACCTAAGATGGGAAAGAGCTGTGAAAAAAAAAGAATAATCAATGTAGGTTTAAGGTATAGACAACTATACTGGTTGATGGGACGGAATAATTATATATATATATATATGTATGTATGTATGTGTGTGTGTGTGTGTGGTGATTAGTGACCGTTAATCGATATTTATTTAGAAATCGTGAGATGCGGTCTGGTGTGATGTAGGTTTCAGAAAAGCATTTTCTTTATCGTGCCAACGTTTTTATCTTTATTGAGATCATCTTCAGGGCTCAAAGTGTTTCTCTTCTGTGTAATTGTGCCATTCTGGCATTACTGCTGGCCCCCATTCTGTGCTCTCTCAACACGACACGAAAGAATGGCACAATTACACAGAAGACAAACACTTTGAGCCCTGAAGATGATCTCAATAAAGATCGAAACGTGGCACGATAAAGAAAATGTTTTTCTGAAACCTACATCACACCAGACCGCATCTCACGATTTCTAAATAAATATATATGTATATATCAGTTTGCATTAATAAAAGTGAAAAATATTGGTCAATATTGGACGTGTGTCTATTTCGAGGAGGAAATATTAAAATCGTGTTGGTGTAAGAATTCAAACGTTGAAGGAAGTAGAGACGCCCACTACAAAGACAGAGGTTTTTTTCTTCTTGCAATTCTTTTAAACTTAATTATTCGAGTTTATATTTGGAGTCTGGTTTTTGGGTCAGACGGTACATTTGTCCAAAATGATAACGATAGAACAATAATCTATGATTTTTTGTTGTGTATTAAATTGTCACATGGTTCTTGGAGATGATGGAATTTTGTAATTTTCGTAGTACTGCACACCAAACTGGTCTGCCTGTTTTCCGTGATTTTATCTATTATACGAGTTTTCAATTTTATTGGTTGATCTGTTGATCAACAGCAGTTCTATTTTGACAGAATGACACAACGTTAGCAAAAAGCAAAACAGTGATAATTGGCAGTGCGTTGTCCGGACAGAATTTACTGAGCAGAGGCCCATTTTTTATAGGTTATGCGGAGGTAATAAGAAAATGAGCACTGAAGAGAATCCCGACCGCATCTCACGATATCTGAATAACTATCGATTAACGGTCACTAATCTCTACACATTTCTACTGAAGAGAATGAAATGCATCTGACTGGCCGAAACAGCGAGAATAGACGGACCAGATTAATGGAAACTGCTAGGCTGGAGAATCATCAACCGACATAGCTTAAGATGAAAACTTATAATAAAACATTTCGGCTAACGTATTTTATCAAATATCGAACTAAACTCGAACTTTTATTCAAACTTTTCACGTTGTGAATTATTTTTTAATAACGACCGAACTTCAGTTTAATCACCTCGCTGGCCTCAAGAGGAAGAACATGGTCAAAATTTTACGTTACAGCTCTACTTTTATGAGAGCTTTTTCAGGAATGTTGGATGGAAAACAAAGCTAGCAAAATATGAATACAATCATGTGTATACTATATATATCATCAGCGCGTTTCTTGGTTTTAACTGCACGAAAATCCGGTCTCAAGTGATTACCATGTGAAATCAAGGGAAAACATTAAAACCTTCTTAAAAATGAGATCTATACACATTTTTCTCCAATTATAACCAACGAAGTTTGAAAATCACCTGACGTTATCCTGGAAGATTTTATTTATTTTTCGAATTCAAATTTTAATTATTTGTAGATCGTAAGATGGGGTCTGGTGTGACATAGGTTTTAGAAAAACATTTTCTTTGTCGTGCCTACGTTTCGATCTTTATTGAGATCATCTTCAGGGCCTGGGATTTATAAACATTGTTTAAATAAGACTTGTCATTATCGGTGACTCAATACAACACCCAATAATGATTCTTCACAGAAAACAAACGCTTTGAATGAGTACAAATACTTTGAGTCTAAAATTTCTAGCATTGTATAAATTCATTTTTTCCCATCTTCCATGTATTTGTATAATTTAAACAATGTTTATAAATCCCAGGCCGTGAAGATGATCTCAATAAAGATCGAAACGTGGGCACGAGAAAGAAAATGTTTTTCTAAACCTACGTCACACCAGACCGCATCTCACGATCTACAAATAATCATTGACTAACGGTTTAGTTGGTCACTAAACACCACACATTCAAATTTTAAATTTGTCGATCAATTTTCATTGCCATAATCGGTGTCTTCTATTAGTATTTTCTGAATCTTCACCACATTTTCTTTTCTTTGTTCCTTTCATTGCTAAATAAAATAAAGCACTTGGCAGCACAACTGTATTGGATATGAGTGTCACACTGTCAAATTTAGAAATATTTAAGACCGAGAATTGGTTTACATTACAATTCTCCAGTATAAAACCTTTTTCAACTCACCTGTAAATGCAGGGCATAAATTTATGGTTTAACGCATTGTGGAAAATCCGTTTAACTCTTAAATTTACATTCGTATACAAACGTTAAAAGCGGAAAAGTAAATTGAACGACGGCCTTAATTGATAAATTCACAAAAATGCCCGGGATTAGCTTTCAATACCTTCAAAGTCTACCGACAAAGAGGCCGACGCAGTCTGCCGCCTAATTCCGACCTGCCGCTAGTACTATTTCTCTCCTTTCTGGGCTCACAGGAGGTGCAAAGGCCGACAAAGCTCGCTTGCCATTTATAAGTCTGATCTGAAACCTCTCTGTCCAAACAAACGAGTAAACTCTGGATGGACAATTCTCTCAAAATAACTTAACATACCAACTCAATTATCAACGAAAACCCTCGATATGTTTTGTCTAGACTTTAAAAAGTATAACTGATAACTGTTATATAAAAGTACTCGTTTAATCTGTGGACTTGTCATATATCATGACATATTCTTCACTCACAGAAGGTTAACCGCTTTAATTTGGAACTAGCATAATCCAAGTATGTAATACTTAGTGTTCCTAAATGTACGTCATCGCCTTTTATACATAGTGAGTGAAGGTATTTTCTAATTACCCAGATGGATTAACTTTTCGATACGAAGTTGATGGGACTCCAAACGGTGTAGGTGCGACGGTGCTTGCCGTGGATTCGAATTACAGGCTCCTTATAAAACTATTTTCGGTATGCTCGGTTTTTTTAGCAGAAGCAATTGCTCTCAGAGAAGGAATCAAATTTATAGAAAGCCAGGTCCCGAAACGGGCGATTCTATGTTCTGACAGCCTAGTATCCTAACTGCCCTTCAAACTCTAACTGGCCCAAAGACCCCAGTATCGTAAAAATAAAACAACTATTACACGACATAACTCTGTCTAGTTCTCACACTAAAATCTATCTCGTGTGGGTGAAATCTCACGACATAAACCTTTCAACAATGAAGTGGGTGTCTTGGCCAAAAAGCTGCAGACACAGGGCAACCGCTTCATGAAATATCATCTCTGGACACTCGCTCTCATAGTAGACACGTCATTGAAAAGAAGTGGCATAGAGAATTTTCCAAACTCGCCAAGGCAAATAGTGGCTCTATCAAAGAACACGTTCGTAACAATGATCCGACAATCAATTTTACAAACAGCTATTTGGTATAGCCATAGGTAGCAACCTAGGCCCGATACTGGCAGACATAATCATGACATATCTATTAAATACAGTCATACCACAATTTCCTTTCACATTACCCTTCCTCGATGATATACTGACAGCAGTTCCCACAGATCAAATTCAAACTACATTAGATACATTTAAAAGCTTTCACCCACGCCAACAATTTACACATGAAATCGAAAACAACAAAAAAATACCATTTTTAGATACACTCGTAATAAAACAACCAGATGGCACATTAATCACAGATTGGTATCAAAAACCAAGAAACACAGATCGCTACCTCAACTTTACATCTCACCATCCCCTTTATACAATAATAAACACGGCCAAAGGGTTACTTCACAGAATGATTACCTTAAGCCATGAATCCTTCCACCACAAGAACATAAAGATATACAAACAGATCCTCCATAACAATCTCTACCCTAAATACATTATTAACAGAATAATCAACAACTACAACTAAACACTAACACCATCCACTATTACTAATAATACTACATTAAGTCTATCAAATACAAACAAACCAGCATACATTTCCATGCCATTTATTCAAGGCCTATCACATAAATTAAACACATTTCTCTCGTGCGATAACTTCAAAATAGCTAGCTTCAATCCTACAGCACTCGCTACCCACCATTTTGAACACCAACACAATTTCGACTTCAAAAATCCAAAAATATATACAGAACAAAACAAACAAACGTAATTTCTTAGAAATGGTTTATATCAACAGAGATAAACACAGCATCAATTACAGAACAGATACATGTAAACTCAGTCGCAGCTACGCCAATATCATTAATAAAATTTAATATAGATAACATACATATATCATAACATTACATTCCATACATCAAATATTTTTCATAGTCTAATTGTCCATTTAGCTTTCCTTTTCCTATTTATCCCTTTCTATATAATGTGTAGAGATTAGTGACCTTAATCGATAGTTATTCAGATATCGTGAGATGCGGTCGGGTGTGATGTAGGTTTCAGAAAAACATTTTCTTTATCGTGCCAACGTTTCGATCTTTTATTGAGATCATCTTCAGGGCTTAAAGTGTTTGTCTTCTGTGTAATTGTGCCATCCTTGCGTGTCGTGTTGAGTGGGCACTCTCAACACGTCACGCAAGGATGGCACAATTACACAGAAGACAAACACTTTGAGCCTTGAAGATGATAAACACAAAATAGCAAAATCTCACTGGCACTCTCAACACGACACGCAAGAATGGCACAATTACACAGAGGACAAACACTTTGAGTGAGTAGAAATACTTTGATTGAATATAAAAAAAAATATATTTTGCATTGTATAAATTCACTTTTCCACATCCTAAATGTATTTGTTAAATGTAAACAATGTTTGTAAATCCCAGGCCCTGAAGATGATCTCAATAAAGATCGAAACGTGGCACGATAAAGGAAATGTTTTCTGAAACCTACATCACACCAGACCGCATCTCTCGATTTCTGAATAATTATCGATTAACGGTCACTAATCACTACACACAAAATGGAAAATATTATGCAGATATACAATCGTCCCTCCAACTAAAACCGCGTAAACCGACTTAGAAGATTTTTCAGAACCATATGAAGACTGCTTCTTAGACTTAACAGTCTACCCCATCAACTCTATAAGAAAGGAGTGAAAATAGTAAATGTTGTGAGTGTGATGACTCCAGTAGAGCCGATGCAGACCGTATTCTACTCGCATGCGCGCTTTGCTCCATAGGTAGAGATGAGCTCTATGCCATTTTAATTTCGAAAAGAGTGCCACTTCCGACTAACATGGTCAAAGTTCTGAGATTAAGCGATTTGGATGTTTTAAACGCTGTATTCAACATTCTGACCTGGACATTTAAAGAAAGACCTGAGATTGGATGGGGGCCGCTGAGCCGAGGAGGTCGTCTTCGGGTGTCGTTTGGGAGCGGTATGGTGGAAACCTGGGCATATTTAGCAACGGACTGTGGGGGGATGTGGACATTCCATAGCTGTAAAATTGTAAATGGTTTTTACCTACATCCTCCTAAAACACCCGGAAAAAAAAGGGGAAAAAAGAAGTTACCCACTGTATCTTCCTAGGCGGCTGTGCGGGGGCGGCTGCCCGAGGCGGTGGCACTCCGTTCTACTTAAAAAGGAATGTCGACTTGCCATATTAATTATGCATATATAACAAACTTGAGGAAATTTTGGCGTTCGATTACACATAAATATAGCTTTGTGGATGGCGAAATGATGAGACGTGTATACAAATCGACACCACCGTAGGACTGACCAGGATGATTGGATACTCAATTAGAAATTTCACAACATGTAACAAACCTGAGGAGATTTTGGTGATCCATTAAACAATCGCGTAGTAGTAAAGACATGATTTCTTCTTTAGATTCTTTTTTCGCCAGCCTCTCCGCGTTCTGCGGAATAGAAGAGAGGCTCGTGACGAGTAAGTCGAACTGGGCAGCGATGCTGAGCGCTAGCGCTGAAAAAAGGCAGTTGACGTTGTACAGGAGTGCGGCGCAAAAGACCATGACGTAAAATTCGAAGATGTAGATGAGTCCGTTTACTGGGAAATATGTTGTGTCGAAAGGGTACCAGGACGGCATGATCTGCCACGAGCCGCAGTCGCCCGAGATGCATTTCAGTATGGGCAAGGCGTTCCACACGGTCACCGTGGAAAAGATCATGTACATGAAGCTCTTGGTGGACCTGTTGACGAAATCGGCGCACTTCGACATCACTCTCTCTGTCGCTTCCTCGTTGTGCTTAGAACACAAGAGGAAATTGCTGTTGAAGGATTTGATAAGGAACTTCAAAGATGTCTTTTGACTGCAGTAGTACAGCATTTTGATCGCCGATTCGAAACAGGTCAAGTTCACCGAAAACTTCTCGGTGAATGTCGAAAATTCATAACCGGCCAGAATGTTGTTCCACATTTGAATCGTGATCTGTATGGTGAACAGAATCCCGAGGATGAGGTTCAAAATCACCATGTAGTTCGTACCGGACTCCGGCACGAGATACTGCCATAGTCCGATTACTTTGAAATACCTAACATCTATCGTTACTTTACTCATCCTCGTCCGGTTGATGATCAAAAAATGAAATTTTGCAGGCGAACCGAATTTCATTTATTCACATTGCTAGGGAAAACTTTGAAACTGCTTCAGGGGAAAAATCAACATGAACAACAATACAAACAAAACTGTCGACTTGGAAGAACTTCCAAATTACCCTATTGATTAGGATTGCGGTAATCGTAATTAAAATTTTATTTAAATATCAATCATGGCGTGTCTGAACTGATTAAAAGGCCAACCCAAATGCATAATTTGACGCTAATCTTCTTCCATCGTTTTCTTAAAAAACGGTGAACGAAACAAATTGCGCAAAAAAGATTAGGGATATTTCTAATTTATTCTTGAGCTATTAATTTTAATTAAATGAACTCATATAGTCTTGCTAGTTGGATAAAACAAAATATAAAATACATACCAGAAACAAACAAATGCTAATCCTCATTTTTAACGGATTTTCTTAAGCATAGGAAACATGAAGATTACTCGTTTTTATGTAAGGTACTAGTTGAAATGAAAAATCTAGTGTCAAGAGCGGGATTCGAACCCACGACCATCGGTTAAATACACCGCTGCTCTACCACTTGAGCTATCGCGACTTCGATCCACTCGGACACCAACTACTTTTCATCAAAAAATGAAATGGTCACGGAGAGCTCTTGGTGAAAATATACTTCGTTTTACTTATTAAAACCATTATATTTCGTGGTCCGATTAATCAAATTACTTCTGTCAATTAATTAATCTTTATGTAAGGTATAAGTTGAAATGAAAAAGCGAGAATCGAATCCTGATTACACTACATTTGAAAAATGGCAAAAAGGAGGGAAAATTCGAAAGGTTGTAGGATCGAAGTCACGATAGCTCAAGTGGTTAGAACACAGGCGTATTGAGCCGAAGGTCGTGGGTTCGAATCCCGCTCGTGACACTAACTTTTTCATCCCAACCAAGTCCTTACATAAAGATTAATTAATTGAAAGGAATTATTTGGTCAATCGGACCACGAAATATATTGGATTACTCATTTTATAAACAAACACCTTTCCATTCATCCAAAATTTTCTTAAAAGAAGCATTTGTTTACCTATGGAGAGCACAATGACTGCTGCTGTAAAACAAAAGGTTTCAATTTCAGTACTTATTTTTATTATTTTCTAATTTTATTTATTCATTTTTCGTTTGTTTGTAATTATTACTTTTCTCGAAGTTCGCCGAGGACCCACTAGTACGGGTCGGCGGATCTCAAGAGGTCCGCGGACCACAGTTTGGGAAGTCCCGGCCTAGACTTTTTAATGAATGAATTTCTAGACAATAATAACCAGTAGAAATATTTTAATCTTTTAACTCTATCCGTGGTCCGCTTGACCAATTAATATCTTTCAATTAATTAAGGTTGTTAGTTGAGATAATACAGTTAGTGTCACGAGCGGGATTCGAACCCACGACCTTCGGTTAGATACGCCGCTACTCTAACCAATTGAGCTATCGTGATTTGGATCCACTCGGGCACTAACTTCCCATCTAAAAGGATAAAACCACTTTTACTTGCTATTGAAGGAGATAAATGCAAATGGTGACTTTAAGCCTGACTTAGCTTTAAAAGTAATTAATCTTTATGTAAGGTATTGGTTGCGATAAAAAAGTCAGTGTCACGAACGGGATTTGAACCCACGACCTTCGGCTAAATACGCCCTCATCTACAACTTGAGCTATCGTGACTTCGATCCATTCGGACACCAACTTCCCATCCCACCATCCCAACCTACAATCTTTCGAATTTTCCCTCCACTTGTCATTTTTTATCTCATCCAATACCTTAAAGATTAATTAATGGAAAAGAATTTATTTAGTCAATCGGACCACGAAACATGATGGATTCAATTTATTTATTTATTTTTTTTTATCGTTTTGGCCCCCATAATATTTTATATTCATCGATTGGTATGTGTGAGAATCTTTTGTCTGTCACCGTCTTCCTCTGTTAACACACACTGAAGATGGTGGAATGCCGAACCGGGGATTCTACTTTGGGGAAATTGATTGAAAACACCACTCCTTTGGGGGGGAAAAGCGACGACTTTGGGGAAAGCACGAATATAATTGAATAATAATGAAGTACAAGTATATTCATTCTTGTAGCACGTCGTCGTTATCATCACAACTGTTGGGACTATAAATATTATTTAAAAAAGATAAACCAAGTACAAGACGACAAGTGCGTGTGTGGTAGCATTGAAACATTGGAACATATAATCATTCTGTGTCCTCTCTACGAAGAGAAACGGAAAAAGATGTTAAGTGCTATAAAAAAAGTAATGGAAAATATGGTAGGATCCACCAAGATAATAAGCTCCTGTTGTATTGAGGAGAATCTCTGCAGTAGAGGACTTCTTGAAGAATATAAAAAAAGATTATGATTATATTAAAGTAATAGCTGTAATTATTGTATTAATTTATTGATTTGTTATTGTTGTTTTTGTTATTTTGAACAAATTATACACGACTATATGATGTAGCAAGTGGCTCTGGCAATCAGTTGATGTAATAAAAAATGTTTATTTCCCCAATCTACTCAGTGACGTTTTCCCCAAAATAGACGGTCTAACGCCGATTTTTGACTGCCTCGTTCCCCAATGTAGTCGTCGCCTGCCGAACGACAGACCATACTAGCGGAGATAAACAAGCCAAAATGATTGGAAAAGATCAGGCTGAAAGTTCATCAACCCGATGAAAAATCGCACGATATATTATATCTTAAGTTCTTTACTTTTTACCACAATTTTCCTTGTGATGATCAAAACAACCCCTTCTATCTAGGAATTCTTTTACATTATGATGCAATTTATTAATTATAGACCTAAATAATGTGAAATTTATATCAGAGTGATCTTTATCTGTAATTCTCCTATAATTTATTCAATGGACATGTCCATTAGGAAGTGTTTTAATTGATCCTTGTTGGATAGATCGACTTCTCCGATTGTTAATTTACGCCATTATCCATGACACGGCCGTTGGATTGGAAAAGACCAAATTGAAATGAACACCATTTAGGGACATGATCAATCAATTTAATGCTAGATAGAGTGGAGAGGGGACGAGATGCGGTGCCTTGAACTTTGCGGGTAGCGTGACGGCTGAAGGCGGAAGCGGGACCGAAATCGGCAGGGCACGGACGCGGTAACGCACGTAGCGACATGCTCCAACTAACATCGCTTCAACTCCATCGAATTACCTACATCCCCGCTATTTTTTTTTTCGAACCTTCTTTTTAATAGGATACGTTCCCACCTGAGATCTCAATTTTGTACAGGTTTTAGTTCTTCCGCGCTCACCGCCCGATGAGACGGAGTCGGATGTTAGTTTTTAATTATTCTAAACGCCCAACCTTGAAATACGACGTATTATCCAACCTTTCTATCGTATTCGATGGAAGTTTGTTTGTTCCAGACGTAAGTTGTGTGGCCAGCACGCTCGTATATTCAAGTACAAGCCGTGTAAACACTTCAACGTAAGAAAATAGTGAGATCTCTTTCTTGAGGTCTGCGGGGTGATGAACCTGTAGTTTGGCCGTTTCCTATCATTATGGTCGTCGGCACCCGTTCGTTTGGTATCTCAGACGTGCCTCGGCATTCCGCCATCTTCAGTCTGTGCGATTTTTTATCGAAATAGAACCGAATGCAAAAAAATACACATCGATGATAATGTCAAAACGCATTTGACAGACAAAGCGTGCTAGAAAAGTCAGACAGGGAGAAGACCGAGCTGCAAGGTTGATGGACCTGCGCGTTTTCTCGTCCATCTGTCTTTCTTAAACTCCGCGAAGGTATATGGCAAAGACACTTCCTGCCGAATGGCACACCAAGATCCAAACCAAACTGGCAAATAATACAGCTTTAATAGGGCGCATTTGACAGACAAAGCGTGCTAGAATAGGCAGACCAGGGAGAAGACCGAGTTGCAAGGTTGATGGATCAGCGAGTTTTCTCGTCCATCTGCCTTTCTTAAACTCCGCGAAGGTAATATGACAAAGACACTTCCTGCCGGAATGGCACACCAAGATCCAAACCAAACTGGCAAATAATACAGCTTGAACGTCTTATGTCGTAGACCATTCAACAACTTCATTTGGTGAATCCTATTTTGACCGTTTTGTAAGTTCTGCAAAACTGAAAATGAAAATTAGACTTAGGAGAGTAACGGTGAACATGGTGTATGCCGAAATGTATATGAAAGATAAAAACAGAACCAATCGGTCGGTAAAAGCCATCTTGGTGGCGTCTGTGCGCTTTACGCCTGTTTGCCCGAAAGAATCAAACTAAAATAATTCTTATCTCCGACTAAATTTACTAATGCAACCTAATATATCGAGAGAGCTCCTTAAATTTAGAGTTATTGATCTGCGAGAACTGATCTACTATTAATAATCAATTGAAAAGACCAAGGTATTTCGAAATTTTAATAGGATGTCGCCAAGTCGAAACTCTGTTACTTTCTAGTGTAGACCAAATGACAAAAATACCACATTTAGATAACCATTGTAATTTTAGGATGTCCACTATTTTTAGAAAGTTAACTGGTACAGCAAAGAGAAACAGATTTAAAGTCACCTTACATTATACTGCAAATAATTTGGTGAAAAATATTGAAAATGGTATCATTCAATGTCCTCTTCATCTAACTTTCATAACTACCAAAAGGACATGTAAATCCGCCCTCTGCTCGGTCCCAGGACATATGGGAGTAGAGGGCAACGTGAGAACGAAAGCATATACTGTAGTAGGTCTTGCGCTTTTCTGTGCCATAGGAATTCCACTATCAATGAGTATCATAGACTAAAGGAAAAAATGAAAATAAGGAAACGGTGGAATTCAGTCATTAGACATCAACAATCCAAGAACCTTCTAGAAAGTTTTGGCAGGAAAGGAGTAATAGAATGCATCAACGAGCAGGATAACCTACCCTAATAGGACACTCAGACTAAAGGGGAATGAGAAGAA